CGACGTGGCTCCGTGTGGCAGCCAGCTTCTCACAGACAGCTTTCAAGTTGTGAAGGCGAAGGATGTTCAAGTTCCATACGCATTTATATCGCTGTGATGGTTGATTGAGATGTTTGCGATGGTAGAGACAAGAGTAAGAATAAAGAACCTCTAGAATTGGTTATATCCCGAGAAACAACATCAAGATTGAAAGCCGTCGGCGAGCTAGTGAATAAGCTTGTCAAGCTTTAACGAGTGGGCATCCGAGCCTACTTGCCATGTTGGAAAACCTAACAATCAATAGAGCGGGGCCAGCCGCGTCACTTAAATTGCGGCTCGTCAAATCATTCTACGCATACGTCAACTACCTTGCCAAGCCTCAAGTTGTAATTTCCAATCCGTATCGGAACAATACATAAGGAAACAGGAATAGAGAGCCGGCATTTCCCGTCTTTGATGTCCTGGATTTTACAACGCAATTTGGCACGTAAGGCAACCTCCGATAGAAATATCAGGTTTCAATGGAGACTTTTCAATGAAAAAAGGTTGTGATATGAACCATGGGGTAAGTAACTCTCTCCGGCTTCAGTTGGCCCAAATGATTAACACACACGGGATTGTGCCTTTGAGGAAGTTTGTACGATATGATACACATAATACTACTGAGAGGTTCTAGCGCTTCATTCTAATCTCGCGCTCGACAGAACATGGTGCTCTCAATCAGAGTGTACTCGATTCTGTACGGGATTACGGGCAAATCATCTACTAACAAGGCGACGCCAGCTGGGAACGTCGGTCTGAAAGATTATCAAGGAAAACGACGAGTATCGAAACTGTTGGTCAGTTGGTTGAGAGCAACCTGAACCCCTAAGAAGCCAAGAGGAATAATTCGAGAGATGCGTTTCGTGAAGTCAAGAAGCTTACTTCATTGTGACATCAATTTTGGCAGAATTTCGTAAATGATGTATAGGCTCTAAGTAGGTTTGCCGATTACGATTTACTTTCTTTAAAAATTTACTCAAATTATCTTAACTAATAACTTTCAAGTCCCTGAGAAAGTGATATTTCCTTAGTCAAGAAGATAAATGGATGCAACGTAAAATGACTAATCTTTATACATGAAAAACTACTAAATTTAATTGTGATTAATTTAATATTGAAAAGCCTTTCTTATTTTAAAGCCCTCAAACGTACTTCTCAAGAGGTCTTACCACTTATTACTATAATCCTCCTTTCTAATAATTATAGGTTTTTTTACTTATCCTATCTTGAATTCATTTCCACTAAGTTTGCTCATATTTCTCAAGCACGAGCTGGGAGTCGCCTTCGATATTAAACAAGTAAGGAACAATCACCTCAAGCACGAAGAGGCGGCTGAAGTAAACCCATTTCGAGGGAGTTTGGGAAATACCCATGAGTAGGCAGCCTTGAGTGGTTTGGGTAACATAGATGAAATACACACCACGAGATGAAAATGGCTACAGTCGTCGGCATCATCGGCATCATCGGCAACACATCACAAATCCGCCCAGAGCGTACGGGTAAGATAATGAGGGAGAATACTCGCGACTTTTTCCATTTAAAGTCAAGGAGACTATAGCCTTCATTCTTCATCTCGACATCCAATTCGTTAATCGAAGAAACTTACTACTCGTTGGTCAGCAGACGGCGTTCCCGATGATCACAACTGCAACACGCCCAAACACAGAGTTACCCAGGCATCTAACGTCATGTCATCAATAAACCTCTTCGGTATATCTGCTTCAGTCATCCTCCTCCTCGACATCCGGCTGTTTAATAGCATACCCCTCCACAAACCCCTCCGGATCACATATCCTCTCAAGACTAATTCCATTCGCAGCAACCCACTCCCACACAAACGCCTTATTAACCTTCACCCTTGGTACATCAGGTCGCGGCCCAGCATCCGCGTCCTCCATCTCAACATCCTCATCCTCATCCTCTTCTTCCACCGCCTCCTCGTCAGCATCGCCCTCCCCAGCTATTTTCTTCACCTTCTTCTTCTTAGCCGGCGGCTTCCCAGGCCCCAGTCCAGCCTCCACAACAACACCCATCTCCCGTAACGTCGCAAGACAATCATCCAACGCGATCCACGTCGCCCGGCTGCAGTCCTCGAGGTCAACCAACAACGCCGGATCCGCGTCACCTGCTACTCGACCGTTACTCGGACACCCCAACACCCACCTCGCGATCTCCCCACCCCAAAACCGCTTATACCCCTTCCTCCCTAGTTCCGAAATAGGTTTCTCCGGCCCGCCCAGCACGCCCTCGCGCCGCGAGATCTCGTACGACACGCCCATGAGCAGTGCGCCGAGCCCCTTTTTCTGCCAGGGCGGGAAGACGAGGATGCAGGCTAGGTTGTTGTTGTCCCATGACATTTTCTCTTTTGAGAAGAAGCCGACAATGTGTGGACGTGGTGGTGGGGACGGGGGCGGTTGTGGCGGCTGCGCTGATGCTGTCGCTGTTGCCGTCGAGTCTTGGTGGGAGGAAGGGTGTGGTTTGGGGGCCGGGGGTGTGTAGACTAGGAGGAAGTAGTTGAAGCCGCGGACGTCGAAGAAGACGGACTTGTTGTCGAGGAAGAGTTTTGCGAACAGGGAAAGATTCTGGCAGAAGAGCTGGCGTGAATTGTGTTAGTCAAAATGTGTCTCACTCGCAGAAGTCTTCTCTCACTATGAGAAAAACAGAAAAGGGACCAAGGTCGGGTACTCACCACATCCTGCTCGCCATCAACTTCCCATACACTCCACTCCCCCTCATCAGTAACATGCTCCTCGGTATATTTCGGCGCAACATTCGTCTTCTTCCCCGTCGTCCGCGCAATCTCCTTGCGCACCAGCCTCCGACCCCGTGGGTGCCGGTAGACCTTCCGTCCCGGCACTACCCCGTTGCGCTCGCACATGCGGACGTGGCCCCACCACGCCACGAGCTCCTTGGAGTACTTGAAGCACATAGGACACACGTATAACCTGTCGAGCATGGGCGCGTCGCCGCCCTTTCGGTGCTGGTTCTTGGCGCCGCCGTTGCTGTTGCTGCTGTTGTTTGCGCTGGCAGCGTCGTGTGCAAGGGGGTTTTTGCTCCCGCCGCCGCCCGTTTTTGCACCCGCGGCCTCGCCGAGGACTTCTTTGCCGTAGTAGGATGGGTACCACGCCCGGAAACAGATGTTGCCGAGCATCACCTTGTCGATGTTTCGATCGGTCCGTGGGGCGGACTTATCTGCTGTCCTCTGGGGAGGGACAGGTGGTGGAGGCGGGGCCGCCGCCGCTGGCGGCTTGGAGGGTGTTGATGTCGATGTCGGGTGTACGGGCACAGGGACGGCGGTAACGGTAGCAGGAATGGTGTGGTGATAGGAAGGTCGCGTCGTCGTCGTTGTCGTTGTTGTAGTTGTCGTCGAGGAGATTGGCCGGAAGTGCTGCGTTATGGGCGGCTGGCTTGTGGGAGGGCTCGGACGGACGAGGCTGCCTCCGGTGCGATTGCGGTGAGCTTGTGTCTGGGGTGCTTGGTACGTGATCTTTGGCGCGACGAGCGTCACGGGCCTGACGTTTTCTTTTGCGTCTTTGAATGCCATTTTGGGCGACGATGAGTCGTTTGCGTTTGCGCTCTCACGTCGTTGACGGGTTACGCGGAGTTCCTGTGGTGTGGGTGTTGCGGGTTGACCAACCGCTCGTGGTATAGATAGCTGCTGCTGCTGCTGCTGCTGCTGTGGTAGATGTGATGCTGATGACGATATTGGCGGTATCGGTATCGGTATGGGCGTCTCGGAGATCTTGGATGCGGGGTACGGCTTAGAATTGGAAGGACGACGTCCACTGATACACTTGTCTTCAGCGGCACCGGCGGCGGCAGTGGAGGGGTGCAAGGGTTGCGGGTGCGATGCGGTGGCGGAGGTCGGGATCGGAGGGGGCAGAATCGGAGTTTGACGCGTTGCGCGACGCGTCGTCGTCGGATCGGCGGTTGTTGCGCCGGCGGCGGCGGCGGCGACAGCAGCGGCAGCCGGGATGGGAGGTTCGGGCTCGTCGTGGGGTCGCTTGCGCTTCGCCGGCGCCATGCTCAGGGGAGAGCGAGGCGAGGATCGTGTGGTGGACGATGATGTTACGCAGCGACTCACGAGGTACGCGGTGAGAGTTCCGGAGCGCGCGAATGGAATCAATTAAACTTTGGGGCCTCGTGGGCGGGAGTGACCTTGCAGGGGTTGAGGATCGAGAGACTTGCGTAAGAGAGAGAGAGATTCAGATCGGTCGGTGGATTGAATGGGTCCTACGACTGTCGAACTGAGACAATTTCGTGCGAATCTTCAGTGTGGGAGCATGGGAAAAGCTGTCTCACATGGTCAAGAGCGATGGGTTGAGTCACGAGCTTGGAGGCGCGCTGCGATGGGAATGTGCTGGGCGCAATTCGTGTTTCAATTGGCGATCTGTTGTTGGTTCAGGTCGATTGCGACCGAGTGCGACCGAGACTTCTGCGTCCTTTCCGTTTGGAAGCAATGACGTTGGAGCTTACATAATATGGGCTGGTCCGTCAACATTATCTTGTCGTTATCGTTATCGGGAGATAGGTAGTTACCCCAAGCCATCGGAGGGGAAGCCACACAGCCCTCGCTACATGCATGCGCAACAAAATTTCCGCTAGAAAAAACAAAACAAAATCCCCCGAAAAAAGTAAAAACACATAATATCAACCCACGCAAAAGAAAACGAAATATCATCAAAATACGAGGTCCATCCAGGATTCGAACCTGGGCCTACGGAAGGTTCTGAGAATCAGAATCCGACGTCCTAACCAACTAGACTAATAGACCTGACACGGTTTATTGACTGTTGGTGGAGTAGTGGCTTCCGGCGCTGATGATCCCAAGCCTCGAGTGGAGTCCTGACGCCGATGGCAAGCCTCTCGTCGCCTCCGTCACGAGGCCCTCAATCCATTGATGGCTATCTTCCGGCCCAGTCTGACTGAGAGCCTCAACCCTCAGAGAGACCTCGCTGGAGGTTCTAGTTGGAGAGACCTCAGTGTTTGCGTGTCGCGCAGAACGGACCTTTGGCGTTCATGACTCGGTCCAGCGTGTCGTCGTTGCTGTCCCAGTCTTTGACGAGGAGTTGCTGTTTTCGCCGAGCAAAGCCAGCGTCACGGTTACGATACACGGAGTCAATTTTGCGCACGTCGTTCTTGTCACTGGTCATCCACCGCAGCTCCTCATCGAGGAACCTCGTATAAGTCATGTCAGTACCGAATCTGGCCTTGACGTTAGCTTCGAGGTGGGCATCAACCGCCTTCTCAAGGGCCTTGTCGTCCTTCGTTGGCGCCGATATCGAATGGAGCTCTGGCATTGTCGAGTCCGCCGACGGGTTGAATGTAGGCTCTTTGCGATGCGCTTCGGGAAGAATGGAGTTAACGCTGTAGTACAGCAAGGAGCTGTTCAAGACAGCGGCGTCGATCCTTCGCAACTCTGGCGGTGTGATCGGGCAATGGCCGAGGTTCAGGTACTCGAGAGTCTGATTTGTCGACAACAGCTCGCAGAGAACTGGAGCAGAGGCATTTTGGATGTAATTCCATGCCTGGCCGAGGTCGAGGGTCGCATATGCCTGGCCTACATCCAACATGCGCATACCGGGATGCAACGTGACAGCCCGGAAGATGTCAATGGCGCCTTCAGTAGTCAGACCGGCAGATTGGAGTGACAGCCGCTGGAGTTTGGTGGCCTGGCGGATTCCGGAAGCGAGCACCTGCGCGCCTTCATCGCCCAGTGGGTTGCATGACAGGTAGAGCGAGGCGATTCCGCAGGCAGGGGAGGATAAGAAAGCGGCGATGGCAGAAGCGGCCTTGGTCGATATGCCGTTTCCGTTGAGGTATATATTTCGCAGGGGTAGTTTCTTACGGCCGGGAACCGCAGAGGAAAAAGTTGTCAGACGTTGGAAGAGCTCTGCGATGCCCGCATCACCCAGCTCAGTCTGGTCGAGGTCCAGAGTGCGGAGGTTTTTGGTCTCGGTGATGAGCCGGAATACATCTGCAGCGGCTACGGGACCTAGCGGGTTTCGTTTCAGCCAGATGTTCGTCACTGCGTCTGAGTCTACCAAGGCATCGACAAGGACCCTGAAGCTGGTGGCGTCGATGCAATTGCCTGCCAAGTACCAAGTATCCATGCGTTCGGGGAACTCGCGGACGAAGCGCGCGATCTCCTGAGCCCCAACCGGGCCAATGATGTTGTTACCCAACAGGAAGTGTCGTACGAAGGGGTTCGGCCGTAAGCTGTCCATCAGGCTGCCAATGTGGTCTGGACCAACGACCATTTTACACAGATCCATGCGACCGTCTTGGTAGACGACACCTTTGCGAAACTCTGCTCCTTTGACACCATAGAAGGGTTCGCCTTTGCCGCCATCGAGATGTGTGCTTAAGCTGCCGGAAGCCTCGTCAAGCTCGTGAGTGCCGCCACGCTCAAGGTGGTTGAAGAACGGCGCCAGGTCGGCGGCGTCGGCAACGGAAACGGGCATCGGGATGGCTTTAGTGCCAGCGAGGGACACGGGGAATTTGGACGGGTCCCACGGGCCCTGGGCAAGGATGCGGGACGCCCACACAGGCGCATGCACGCCCGGGGCAGCCCCGCCGGTCAAGCCGCGGAAGCTGTGGCCGTTCCGTTTGGTGGCGGCAAAGATGTCGTGTTTCCGCTGCAGGGCAACCCATGCACGCAACTTGACCCTCGTCGCGTCGTACCGAATGACGGGTGACACAGCATTATCGTGGGTGGCGGGATACAACAGCGTTGCAACGGCTTCGGCGAGGCGAGATCGCGCAGATTTCCGGCGCGGGAGACTGAATAGCTCGTCTGGCAGGCGAATTCTGTCCACGGGCAGTGAAAGAATCTCATCGGCCGTGTACGCTTTGGCGTGATCAAAGTCTGGCATTTTAGCATCGAGAAGATTGAAAGCCTCTCGGCAAAGAGCGGCGAGGCGAATTGCTTCTGCCAAGTCATCTGGAGCAGCATTGCTGCCATCAACCGTGTTGTTGGTAGGCACGGTTGGGGTTAAGGCATAGGGCTGGCGGTGGCCATGATCACCCGATATTGAATTGGCCAATGTAAGCTGGAGTGTTGCGGCGGAAGCCATTTTCGTGTCAGGGATTGGAGGTGCGGACATATGTTGGTAGTGTTTGATGGTCAAAGTATTGATGTTACTGTGTGTGCGTTGATAGTATAATCCGGACGAGGTAAGAAACTCGGCATGAAGCAGACATGACACTTATATGTTGATCATCATGATTCCCAGGTGAACGAAGTGACTGGACCATTTGTCGACTCTTCGTGGTGAGTGCCTCGAGGCGTGTAGTTGAGGGCATCTTCGATTTGCTTCTCTGCACGGCCATAGTCCGAGTCGATTTACGCTTAGTCTGGGGCCGTTGAATAGGGCTATGGCTTCGCCAAGGGTAGAGCTTCTAGGCAGCAAGTGCGAAAATGGATTGACGAATCAGAGGCACGGATGGTAGCTAGGAATGGCATCTGTCATGGTTGTATGTGCTCCGTACTGAATGTCAAATGTCGTTGCAAGGGCGTAGTTGACGAGAGTTTGACATGTAGATGTCGAATCTTATTGACACGAGGTGACCGAAAGTAGTCACTACATCAGACGACGCAGGCAAGGCAGACAACAGGCAGGAACTGGAGATGGAAGCCACTGGTTCGTTCCGTCTGTTGTGCTCCGTACACAAGGTACGTATACTGCACCTCCTGCTCTTTCCACGTTTCGCAAACGGCAGGCAGAGATGACTGCATGACATGGGTGGCTGGTGAGCTGATGACATGATATGACTTGTGGCTGGACCTGTGGCTTGCGATATTGCAAACCCCACCAGCCACACATCACGAACCACACCACCACCACCACCACTCAACCTCCACTTCTCACCACCAACTCACGACGCTTCTTGGCTGCGATGCAGCACCAACCCACCCACACCTCTTCTCTTCCCCCCTCTCCCCCTTCGCAAGCACCATACCGGCACCTCACTCACACCTCGGAGCTTTTCAGCTGCAGCGCAACATCAAACGTCTCTATCCCTTGCCCGTCACCTTGTCCCCCGGCCTTTCCAATGTTGCATCGCATGACGGCTCACATTCATTGCCCAGGCCTTGTCTCTCCGCCCGCATTGCAGCCCTGTCTCGTTGCCATTTGCTTTCTGTCTGACTCTGTCACGGAGTCACAGCTGACCGCGAAGTCTAGGAATCCACCGCAATCAATCTGTGTAACACAGCGCAGACCACGTCAATAAACGCCCATCACGTCGCCCAAGGGCCAAACATTATGTGTGTGTGTGTGCCAGCTACTAACCGCAGCACACTGTCACCAGTCACCAGTCACCACACCCCATCCGACGTTCCCAGCTCTGCTATATAACCTGCTCCCTGCGGTTATTAATTTAGCACATTTGTGATTCGTCGGCTGCACCTGTGTCGACCTTGTCTCTCAAAGTCTCACATCGCTCGCGCTTGGACGAGACACTTTGCTTTTTCCACCTTGCTTCTTCGACGGCATACACACACACATGCCCACACTATTACTCTTTCTCTCACGCCATGTCACAATGTACCTGTACAGCGGTGAGCAGACAGCGGGGCGCGCCGGTACTTTTCTCATCTTCGTCAACCGCCCGTAACCCATTCCAGCCGTTTTCGTGAATCTTCGGATGGCTTGGAGCAAGGAATCTCAAGTTTCTACCAACAGCGAACAAACTTCCGTGGGAGCAAACAATCCCGCTGACTGCAGCATGCTCTCGCCTCATCTTGCCTGTCCACCCCGTTGGCCAATCCTCTCATCTTCGCTTGGACTTGTCTCGTTTCGTTCTGCCTATGCGGCAGCGGACGAGGGCAAAGAGGAGTAAAAAATGATATATCGTGCAGTATCCCACGGCTACAGCCCGCTCTCATGCGAGCAGCCGACCACTCACAGACCCTCGGGACCACTTTGCTTTTTGCCGTCATAAATTCTCTCCCTCGGGCATCGACGCATGCGATCAATCGGCAATGCCACAATTTCGGCCGGTTGACACGAGGCTCTGAATCGGCTAGCGACATGCGGGAGTGCGTATAGGACCTCTTGATTGGAGTCCACATTGCTTTTCTGCATAAGCAGAATGACGATCTCTTCGGGAGGCATGCAGGGAGGGGCAAGCCATCGAGGCTGTGGAAGACACTTACGCACGCTAAGAAAATAAGATGGTGGTGTGTCTCCCAAGTTCCCGGTCAGGCGGGGGTGCCTTTTTTTTTGGCCTTTTTCTTTCCAACACCCTCGACAGCAGCACCAGCTGTATAGACGAGGTTAGCCCTACCAACAGCCCTCTGAAGTGTGTTGTGCGTTGGATGTGACGATGAAGAAGAAAACACTCTGCCCTTGGCATGTTGGCTGGAGAGGGATTGGCCCGCGCGGGGAGATGCAAGACAAGCTGTCTCGGTGTGTGGTCGAGCTGGCTGACCGCTCCCCCTTTGGTCCGATCGTTTGGTTGCGTCCTAATGCTGCGTTGCGGGTAGAAGTCTTTCCGTATATATGCTCCCGGCCTGCTGACGAGTGAGCGCCCTACGTTCACTCTTTTCTCGAGGTTTGAGGCTGCTGCGTTCCGAAAAGCAAGGCTTCTCTTCCACTTTCGTCTGATTTTCCCTACTCAGTTCACTATGTCATCCTTTCCAATGTTTGCTCCCATGCCACGCAGAAACGTAGATGGGCCAGTCTCCCACGCCAAGTGGCCGACAGTCGACGCCTTCCGCTCAACATCGACATCGTCACCATGGGATGTAGATGAATCCACGGCCCAGACCGTGAGCAAGCTTAACTGTGTCTTTGGTTTCCGGCCACCAAACGCCTACGCCAAGCAACCACCTCGAACATCCCCGGATGAAATATCCAGATATTCTCCTGATATTCAACATCTTCGTCTAGACCAGACCCCCGAGCTACGACAAGACACCCCTTCAGATGTGCGGACACGGACGTCTTCCTTTGGACCAGAGACGCCTCCTACCAGGTTCGACTCATATTTTGCACCAGAACCGGTCGTCCAGCCTCCAACACCGAGTCGGCCTGTCCATGCCCATCTACGCTCCCACTCGGATAGCTGCAGCGTTACAAGTCTCTGGCCAGAAAGCCAAGGCTCATATCGATATGGGGGTGAAGCAATTTCAGATCAAGGGATCGATACCAAGCAACATGGCTATCTTGGCGCAGCAGCATCTCGCTCGGGAGATAACTCTCACCCTCAACGGCAGTCTCGCGAGGCATCATCGCCTCACCAGAACTACACCGTCACCCTCACCCGCAACAACCGCGCCGTCACTCTCATCCTGCAGCAAGGCCGCCCTACAAAGCAAGGCCAAGCAACCATCACATGCTACCGCCAAACTTTCCTGGCTCTGGGAGGACCCTACGCCGAATTCTTCAAGGCATCCGAGGCCCTGGTTCTACTGCAGCACATGGTGAACGCATCATCAATGTCATTTGTGCCCTTTAGCAAACGGGAACGATCCGAGTTGATGCTCCGCATGCGAACTTCGCCAGACGCCATGATTCTCGGCGAGCCTTGCTCCAACGCACGCGCGTGGACGAGCTTCTTCTCCACGGAGCTCGGTGCTGGGAGGGCCTGGGAGGTGGGCACCGTCATCTTCCCCTGGAAGGTGCTCGAGAGGCTGATGAGCTCTCTCAATTCCGAGTTTGCGCGCAGGAGGAGAGTGCAGTCCCGCGCTGCCGCCGCGTTTAACAGACGAGAGGCGGAAGAGCACGCGGGACCAAGAGGAGGACGCGGAGGCGCGGCCTTTCAGCACAGCTACAGCCACTCATACGACTCCCGCCCCGTATCTCTGCACCTTGCCGGTGCAGAGCATGGTAATCTCGAAGCAGCAGCAGCAGCAGGGGACCGCAGCTCCGTGGCATCCGGGTCGCCACCCCCTCGGACACCGACAGAGATTCTGCCGCCCAAGCTGCAACTCCTGCCGGAACAGCGCACCTCTCAGCTTCACCAGTCTCCTCCGCCTCCGCCTCCTCTGGCGTCCGTGACAGCCGCGCAAATCCGAACGCGCAGACGCCAGCACTCGGAGCCCGCCGTCCGACGCCTAAGCCTGACGCCGCCGCGCATCTCGCTACTCAAATCCAACAACCTGCGTAGGCTGCACGCTTCCTCGACGCCCATGCGGCTCGAGTTTTACGACTCGATCCGGGCGTGGCCTGCTAGTTCGCACCGAGCGCGTGTGAGGCTGCCGCCGTGCTCCCGGTTCCTGGAGATGGTTGAGGACCAGGGGGCTGATTCTCATAACCCGATTGCGGTTTGAGGTCTCACTCTTGGGTCCGGCTTTTACTCTCCTGCATTACTACATGTGGCTTCTTCATGTGCTTTTCTCTTCATCATTCTTCTCTTTCATTCTTGTGTGTGTGGATTAAGTGGCCTGTAGAACACAGGGGGCAGAGCACCTTGAACTGCGCGCAGCATTTCATCCCTCTGCACAGCTGCTGTTGGGTTCAAGACTTTTTAGACGGGGTTACTATCATATGTGTACACGGGAAACAAAAACGGGGGAACTGAACGGGTTTATGAGAAATGGACTATGTGAAATGGAAAATGAAACGAATGATACAAAACAATTGTTAGAAATAGGGCAGGGTTCTTGAGGAAAGGCACTTTAGATAGAGAGAGACAAACAGGATCACGCGGTTTTTTGCTGGGCGAAACCGCCAACTCACGGCAGGATCCTGATGAGCGGGAAGAAAGAAGTGGTGTTACACTCATGAAGAACGAACGTCCTCGCGGATTTTGTTCCATGTACTACAAGTGGTTTGACGACTTAGGTCTAGGAAACACGGATATCTCACTATGCTAAGCATGTCTTGAACTTTTTTCGCTGGTCTCCTCCCTCTCTGTTCCCCTTTTTCTGCGAACAGCAGTGGTGAGTCACTTGGAATGTAGGAGGTTTTACGTCCGTAGCTGTGTGATGGGACACATCGCATCATAGCTCCGAGCTTAGCTGAGAGTTTACTTGGTCAGGAATGTACATCCCGCCTCTCACGTGCCAGATAGGACATGCGACTTGCTACGCGATCTGAGACCGTTTGACATACGGCCGGAGAATTTGGAGGTTGGAATGTATTCGTAGATTGGCAGCAGCGGTTCTAGAACTTGCGAGGTGCTCGGGTTAGAGTCTAGAGATCATCGGGCGGAAGTCTTTGGACAACTTCCCCAATATCAGTCACGGGATTAGAGCCTGTGAAATACAGCTGGACCAAAACCCCGACCTGACTCGTGAGATCGTGCCCAAAGCACCCTTCCACTCTCATGGGTATTTCGCTTCGGTCTCTTGTAAATAGCACAACGTGGATAGCAACCGTGAAAGCAAAGCACGTTGTACTCCGTACAATGGCCTTCAACCCGTGGTCGCGATGCACTCCTCAGTATCCGCAGGTAGTCTTGAACGTTCTGCCCATCAAGTGCTCGAGGTTCTCTTGGCGCTGATGCTTCCCGGAGTTTAAGTGCGAACCACTCCGTCGGGCACAGAGGACCTTTCTTCTCCCGCCGCAGGGACCAGGATCATCGCAAATACACTCTTTTACCAACGGGTGTAAATTAAGAAAGACCAATAAGGCTCTCAGCACAGGTAACACAGCGCGTTGACAATTTCCCAAACTTGAGACGAACGTCAACGGGGTTGTCCATGTTCACCCAATGCCGGGGAAGCCGCGCCGCGATCCACTTCTCTCAGGACTTCATCTTTTAGAGTTTCTGGTGATGGAGTTGTCTGTGTCTCCCCTCCGCCCCTTTTACCGGGTTATAGGATCATGATCATCCTGGCCATTTACTACGTAGATGCTGAGGGCCGCGCGCGCGTGGGGGCGCGGTGAGATATAAGTCTCCGTCCCACCTCGTTCCCGCGGGGAGTGGGCATCGTGAGGTTCTCGCCAAGTACCTCTACTCACCACAGTCACTCGTTCTACCTGCGGCATCTACTCAACTAAACGTAACTCAACCACGAATCTGCGATCGACGAAACACCGTCCATAACCGAATAACATCCTCCCCCGAAACGAGAAGCAATAATGGCCCGCTCAACCCTCGCGCTCCTCGCCGTGGCAGGCCTCGCATCGGCAGGCAGCATCCTGGCCCCGCGCCAGGATAACGAGACGAAGGCTGCGGTCGATATCACGGCGCTGAACAAGAACGTCTCGGCGACGACGGGGTCGGGCGCTGTTAGTGCCGCGGGAACGCTGGCGCCGTTTGGCGGAATTGGGGTTGGTTGTGGGATTAATTGGGCTGAGGGGCAGTCTTATGGGGGTGAGTTCTTGAACGGGATGAAGGAGAATGTCTGGCTTCCAAGCGTCTCCTGAGTTGAGGGTTCTGGGAGTGTTTGAGGAGATGAACTTGAAAATTGGATTAGATGTGGTTGTGAAAGGAGAGGATACGCAAGAAGGGGGTGGGGGGTGGTTATGCTTTTGACCACTCAGCGGATGGAGAGGGGTGACTTGGAGGAATTCGAGGCGACGAGGTGCCTTTCTTTTATTGAAGAAGGATAACGAGCTGACGCATTTTGTGTTCACCAGGTGGCCTGCAATCCGGCTCTGAAGCCTTTGGTCTCGGCGGTGGCTTCACAATCACCAAGGACACGATGAACATTGGTCTGGGAATCGGCATCAACCCGATCAACTTCAACTCCAGGTAAGCAGAAACCAACTCAGACCGCTTCACTACGGGCTGGGTCATTACCGCCCCGGGTTCCCCCTCATCCACAACCTGGACCAGAATGCGGGAGGGTTGTGAGGTGGACAGCGAAAGGCCAACGATCAAAGTTTTTCGTGTTTCTTCTCCTTGAAAAAGTTAGACGATGCTGATACAGTGGTCTTTTCACAGTGTCAGCTACGAGGCGTCGACGAACGGCACCGTGAGCTTGGTGTTCACTTCGACTTCGGCGATTAAGTGCGAGGAGACGACTGTTGATGGGGTTAAGGGCGTCAAGTGTACGTCTACCTGAAATGTCTGGGCATCCGGTGGCTCCCGTATTTGTTACTTGCTTCGAGCGTGTTGAAAATCTAGATACATATTTGCTATCTACAACCCCCCATGCCGTGAGTAACTCTGTGAAGACGTGACCAGCCATAGCGAACTATGAACATGGCCCCGTGGTGTGAATTGGGTAGCTTGGTACTCGAATTGAGAGTGATTGTGAAGAGGACCTTGAGATACCGGTACCGTGGTTGCGGGACAGATTTCACCAGGTTGATGGCCCGCTACTTTGATCTTTTGCAACGGTCATGCGGGTTCCTGGGATCTGTGGAACAGAGGGTTGGAGGCTTGGATAGTCGAAGGTGTATGTTCAGGGAGTGATCAACACTTTTTGGCGTCGACGACGACTCAGATGTACAGTGCCTCCGCCATGCATTGCCTATATGTAGGGTAGAATCAGTAATAGTCCAAAGAAGTTGAGGTGTTCCGATCAAAAGTGTAATTGACTGTCACAGCCTTTTCTTGGTGGTTGACACCAGGCGTGCTCATTCTCTAAGCCAATAGTCTGAGAGCACATTGCAAAGAATTGAGGCTTTTCACAGTGTCACTCGCTCAACCAGGTTTTTCAATTATACTTCATCTAGACCGAGGTTTAGTCGACTACAAAGGTTGACGACGTTCGGAGATAGCATTGCATCAACCATTCTGTCCCAGCCCTAGAACCCATCTCCGTTACCTTTTGATTCAGCCTTGGTGATCGTGTATTCCTTTGATAGATATATAATAGACAGATATCCCTCGTCTTGGCAGTCTTATTCTCTTCTATCTCCTATCCACAACCCATCTCTGCTTCACTACATCGGCATATGCCAGTTCCCAACTTCCCATACAACCAACAAGCACTCGCTTCTCTTCAAACTAACCTATCGTCGTCTCATCACTCTACTCTCTAAACCCACTCTCTTCTCACTACCTTACTCTCTTTTCTAAATTTCTCTTCACCTCTCATCATCCACCAACCGTAGTCATGTATACCACCATGAATACCCAGACCGCCACCGCCACCCAGCTCTCTCATTGGCGTCGTCAATACGGCACTAGTTGGTTTGACGGCGCCGATGGGAGTAGCGGAGACTACGACCTGTGCGCGGTCGAAGACGAGGAAGAGGACGAGAACGAGAGATGGTGGGAAGAAGACTCCTCTGCTATCGAGGACGAGGACGAGGAAGAGGACGAATGCGACATGGTGCAGGATGTCGTACCTGAAGAACTTAAGCAACAGAAGCTTGGTGTTCCTAGCATCATGCTCACCACTACCGAGGGAAACGTCTTCTTCGGCAATGCTATCCCAGAGGGAACATGGTGCACCGAGTCCCGTGAGTCCCTGAATCTGCGCACAAAACACATCAACAACGCAGAGACGTTCCTCTGTCCAGGCGACTGGAGACAGCTCCGCAACGCCTACCGCCTGTGGCAACAGCAGGAGTATGACCAGCGGATGGAGCAAAATTTGGAGCTGGAGCAAGAACGACAGCAAGAGCGACAGCAAGAGGAAAAAGCAGAGACCGCATTACGCGAGCATCAACAGCTCTACGCGCCCCTGATCTTCCTCACGACCCCCGACGGCGACATCCTCGCGGGCGACGAGATCCCAGAGGGACAACGAGCCCAAGAGCCCTGCGAGGCTCGCCGTAGGAAAGAGCAATACGCCGCCAACGCAGAAACGCAACTCTGCCCGGGCAACTGGGAAAAGATCCGCGACGCCAACCGGCCCGAGGAGCTAGAAGAGGACGCGGTCCTACACGTCAACCTGCGCGAGGCAGAGGCCGCACTTCCCAAGGGCAGCCGCAGCTGGCAGAAGCGTCTCGCGCGCGTGAACCAGCGCAGCCAGCGGCGCCGGGCGAGACAGCAGGAGCTCGAGGAGGCGGAGCGGCTCTGGCGGCTGCAGAAGGTCCGGGTGGAGGAGTTTGTGGCCGAGAGGAGGGCCAAGGTTGAGGCGCTCGAGAGGATTGGCGCGGCGGGGGATTTCCCTGCGTGGAGTCGGAAGATGGATCGGGAGCAGGGGGAGGCGGAGGAGAGGCTTAGAATGCTGAGGAGGGAGCTTGAGAAGATGTTTGAGGGGGGTTGTTGGGAGGAAGGTGAGGTTGAGGAATGAGCATATGTTGTCTCGTCCCTCTTCCCTCTTCTTGGGCGGCACAGGTTGCTTCTGGAGGAATAAGCACGAAGCTTCTCTGCTCTCTTCTTGGATATCGCCGTTGTATTCTTCGGGTTACTATACGGCGAAGATGGCCATGACTTACGGCCTTGGTGTTGGCGTTTAGTTGTTTCGATAAATTGACTACCGCTTTCCCTTTCTCACCTACTCCCATCCATCACCCAATGCCTCTTCGCCATGATTAACGATTGACGTCTATGAAAAGCCTCATCAACATGTAAGCCTTACATGGATTTTGTTTGGAGTTGTCGAAACAAGCATAGACGTTGTCAAGCATTTCCCCACGAATCAACTGCTACATCTGCCGCAACACGGTTCGTCTCGTATTCGATGGTTTCTTTAGATTGTCTGTGAGAGGCAGCCATTTGTCAATTGTCTACGATGCGATTTGACACTGAGCCTCATCGGAACGAATTGCTTTTGTATGTCATTGCGCAAAACGGTCCACGTGCTATAAAGTCGTCTCAAGTTGTACTTGCATGTACAACAGGTGTATCGTCTGACGCCAGCATAGTAAGCTTGCAAGAAATCTCTACATGTAAGGAAGGGAGAGACGGGAAGATGACGATGGTAGGCCTCCTCCCTCTGTACCCCAAAACTCTAAAAGACCGGATGTTCCTCAGCTGGTGTTACACGTATCAGTGCAGGGAATGACAATTCTTCCGAGGCTTCATCCGTTGACCTAGCACCAGGCTGGCTCATCAACTTGCACCGATACTAGTGCTTGATATGTCCGTTCTCGCAGTGATTATCTCCTTCATCCACTGCCTCGTTCAACTCATCCCTTCAGTAGCCTGGGATAGTGAGACGACGTCAGACAGCCAAGCTCATCGTCGATCCAGGGTCCTGGGATGTCTTGGCAGAGCGTCAGTATCCGGGGAATGCGGGGGAGGCGAAGCGTTCGTTTGCTGTTCGAGCAGGACCTTAAACCACAAGCAGCATGGAACAGCAAACACCCCCCCCCCCCCCGCTTGATTCGATTGTTTGTCAGACCCCAATGCAGTAGTTTCGCTGCTCGGTGGTGATGTTGGCTGCCACTCGCGTGACTGATATGCATGACGAGAACATTGAATATAGGTACCCACGTATCGAAGTTAGGAGGGAAAGGAAGAGGACCCCACATTCACGCCGGTCCAGGGTCCCCACTAAGAGCACTGAAGAAAACCCGACCGATCGACCGAGCGGCCAATCCGCGTCGGCCGGCTCCCAACGTCGACCGGGGTGGCAAGCGCCAAATGGGAAGCGTCCCTTCCGTGCCCCTCACGCCGTCTTGAACGGTCTTCCCACCATCATAGGTAGGTACAGAAGGAACCCATCACCTCACTCCTGCCTGCATTTCATCGTCCGATTCGGCACCTGTTTCGCGTACGGAAGTAACGTGCTTTTCTTCGCTTCCGCCTCCTACCATACGCACACCACCACCCTAACACCCCCAGACACCCCAAGACAACCTCACTTTGGACGACCACACCCACTTCGGGAGTTGCAAAACCTCGTCCATCCCCGGATCTTCCAGCTCGTTCCTGCCACCCTGGTCCCCTTTTGGCTCTTCCCCGCCAGCCACTGCGCAAGCGTGTCACAACAACCTCAGCTACGTTGACTTAGTACGCTGATACTGCGTACACTGTCACGAAGCGAGCAATCAGAAAGTCGCGTGGTTCGATTTTTGGCACCGACCGTGTAGACGACGGGACTTTTAAAGACAGACTTGGTCGCACACCCCATCGTCTGAAGACACGCCACTTTTTGGATCGTCTTACACCAAGCTTGTCTACTTTGCCTTACCTCTCATCAGGTAGGCCCAAATCTTCATCCCTTCCTCGCTTGAAACACAAGCCCCGAGCTTCTTTTCTGGCTGGGCTCTGTTCCTTCACATATAAAATCATATACGATTTCCACTTTTCCATTTCCTACCTATACCCCGCCACTACGACGACAATGGCACCCGAAGTACTTCAGCAATTTGCCGTAGGTGGAGGACTCCCAGTAACCAAGATGCAGGATCCGAAAGAGAGGTTTTATCACCATTTTCAAGAAGAAGTCATCGGTACGTTGGCCCCGTAAAACAAGGACCGAATGGTCGTCTGATGTTTTCTGGGCCGTATACTAACAAAGAACCCCGCACCCAGGTCTACAAGAGCAGATCGACAATGTGAGCTCCATATCTCAGGTCGGTGGTGAGAGGCAGGACGCCATTGATCACATCCTGGCCGGTATATCGAATCTCTCCAACGAAGTCGCCGACGCTTCCGACTATGTTCCCTCGTATGACCAGCGGAACTACGCCCAGGTGGGTTTGAATCTATAACTTACTCAGGCTTCCTATTACATCTCGTTGACACCTCTTTACTTAACAGGCCGTCAAAGCTCTCACAGACAAGTTGAATGAGACCACGGCAAAGCTGGCCCCGCGTTCCCGCTTCCAGTTCAAACCTCGCGGAGCCAGCTCAGCAACAACATCAACCACCAATGGCCCAGCCGCGCCCAAAATTGACCCCCGTCTCATTGTAGGGGCAAGCCTTGCCGACCCCTTCTCCCCATCCCGCGGCGGCCCGGTCACCGCTCCCCCCTCCTCCTCCGTAACCCAGGCCGCCACGGAGATGGACTCAGACGGCCTCGGCGATCTCCCCAACTTCCCAAAGAACTACAACGAGGAAATGGCCCGCCCCAGCGCCACCAAGGTCCGGAAACCCAGCTTCTCTACCGCAAAGGACATTGCAATTTTCGGCCAAGACGGCCTGCACATCATCCTCCCGTCCTCGGCGTCGAGGGCGACGAGTTCGGGCCGCTTGACCGATCTAAAAGGGTGTGTAGTGGACATGTCCATCGCGCTCTCGGGCCACACCTCGTTTGCGAACCTGGCGCTCAAAAACGTCGAGAGGAGTCTGATTGTTGCGGGAAACGTGGCCGGGCCGGCGCATATTACGGGTGCGTCGGATAGTATCATTGTCGTTTCTGCGCGGCAGGTGCGCATCCACGAGTGCAGGAACGTTGATATTTATCTGCACTGCTCGAGTCACCCGATTATCGAGGATTGTTCGAATATGCGCTTTGCGCCGTTGCCGCCTAGCTTTGTAAGTAAATCCCTACTCGTCCATGCTTCTTCCCCCCCCCCCCCCCCTTTTTTTTTTTCTTGAGATATCAGCCGCTGACTGCCGAGAAGGACACCACAGAAGATCCCACCAAGAACCAGTGGGACCAAGTAGACGACTTCAAGTGGCTCAAATCAGAACCCAGTCCGAACTGGAGCATCTTGCCCGAGGAGAAGAGGCTGGCCGAGGAGATTTGGACAAAGGTTGTGCCGGGCGAGCGCGGCAAAGATTTGCACGATATCCTCAAGGCGGTCGGGGTCCAGAAGCATTGAAAATCGGATGGAACATGCTGTACATCGACGGGATGCGGGAAAGTGAGAGGTCATCACTACTTGCAGAAGTTTCCTGAGTCGAATCCTGGTTTGGAGTTTCAAGGAAGGCGGTTTTGCTAGGTACCGCAAGGGATGCATAATATGTTTTGGCGCAAGAAAAACAGCGTCCTCTTCTGTCCAAAATTTCTTCGTTTGGTAGTTCGCATATCGGGGTATCATAATAATTCACTCTGGCAAAAACTTTTCGTCCCAATCTCTCTCCCTCTCCTCTTGCATTCGTTCTCCTTCGCAACTTCTCGCTTGAAGTCTTCTTCCATCGCACGTGTTCCATCCTTCGCATCACTCAGTCTCCATCTTATCCCCCCTCCCGCCCTCCTCATGCCCAAACTTCACACCCGCCTCCCTCAACCGATCCAACACCTCACGCTGCATCCGTATCCTCTCCTCAAGCTCCTTGATCTCCTCCTCCTGTTCCTCAACGGTCCGTTCCATATCCGGGAGGGTACGCATCTGCGTGCGGGCGCGCTGCAGCTTGTGCTTGAGGGCGTCGGTCTGCGCGGGGACGTCTTTGAGGGAGAGCGGCGCGTTGGGGCTGGCGGCACCGCCGGCGGCGGAACCGAGAGGGTTGGGTGTGGCGCCGGCGCCGGCTGGTGTTGCGCCTGTGGTGAGGCCGCCGCCGATGGAGGAGGAGGAGGAGCCCGAGGTTTGGATTGCGGTTCGGAGGCGGGTTAGGATGCCTGTTAGTTCGGTGAGGGTGTCGAGGGCGTCTGGGGAGAGGGTTGGGGGTAGTTCGAGGGGGTGAGGCGGCATTTTGGTGGTTTGGTTTGGCTTGGTCTCGGAGTCTTGTATGAACGGAGAGGAGACGTTATGCGTTGCTGACAGAAGTGTGGTGAGAAGTGTCGGTGAAACGGGTGATTTGTGGAGAGGTATCGGGCTATTCTCAGCCTCGCGGTAGGTGCGTGATGGAGAAAGGATGGTCGTTGGCTGCGTGCTCGAGGCTTGGAAAGTCAATTGACGGGGAGATGGAGGCGTAGGTACAGTACCCAGGTGGGATGAGATGAGGTGAGGTGAGGTGAGGTGAGAGAAGCAGTTGCTCGGTGAGGTCCGTCCGCGTCCAGGGTCGTGTCAAGCTGGAACGGCAAGGGCCAAGGGCCAAGGGAGGGGGGAAGCTCCGCCGGGGCAAGGAGCTTCCACGGGCGTTTTAGCGGCGCGGCGATTGGTAGCTAAAAATTGTTGAAAGTCAACAGAGGGGCAGCCGGGCAGCCCGCACCGTTTCTGACAGAGTTGGCACTGTACTTTCGACGGAAGAAACGGTTGTGTGGACAGTGTGATTACGGAGTGCCACGGCACGGATCTATTATCGGCGATACTATGACATAAACCCCCACCAAACCACCGACACCGATAAAACAGCCCAGGCGCCGGGAAAGCTCACTGTACCTAAGAAAAGGTGGTACATTGGCTGATTCAATCAAATCTCCTCAACCAGCCTGGCACTTCTCTCACCACCACCGCCGACGCCGTAAATAAAAGTCTCCATCTCCCAGAACAGAAAAAATCACGCACTTCCTAGAACTCTGCTTTCATCCAGATATCCCCTTCTGTAAAGAAATTGCTGCACAGAAAATAACCTAATTCACCATGGCCAAGACCGACCAGAAGGCCTGCCTGAGTACGTCCAAAGATCTCCCTCCAGACCCTCCGTGCCCCTCGTCGAAGCCCCGCGGTGATGGAGATGGTGGTGGTGTGAGTGTTGTCGAGGCTGGCCACCAAAACCACCAGAACGCGCCGCCAGCAGAAACAGTCCCCTCGCCTCTCCCGCAACCGCAACTAATTCCCAAATCCAATCCCGATTACATCCTCACCCTTGCCTACATCATCCTCTATCTCCAAGTCGGCTGGCTAATCTTGTGGATCTTGCGCTCCTACAGTCGTGATTGATGGCTGGGGTGTGCCCGGCGCCGACTCCCCCAAGGATGGCGACGCCATCACCAACGCAAAGACCCCCGTCATGGACGACTTCGCCCAGAGCAAGACCGGATACTGCGAGCTCGACGCCTCCTCCATTGCCGTCGGCCTGCCCGAGGGTCTGATGGGTAACTCGGAGGTCGGTCACCTGAACATTGGCGCCGGCCGCGTCGTCTGGCAGGACGTCGTGCGCATCGACCAGACCATCAAGGAGGGCAAGTTCGCCGACAACGAGGTCATTAAGAAGACTTTTGAGGGTGCCAAGAACGGCAACGGCAGACTGCACCTCTGCGGTCTCGTCTCCCACGGTGGCGTGGTGAGTTCCAGCCCATCTTCCAGCCCAAGATTTATGATCGTCTAACACACAACCCTCCCAGCACGCCAAGCAAGAGCATCTCTACAACCTTCTCAAGGCCGCCAAGCAGTACGGCGTCCCCAAGGTCTACATCCACTTCTTCGGCGATGGCCGTGACACCGACCCCAAGTCCGGCGCTGGCTACATGGAGGAGCTCGTCAAGACCGCCAAGGAGATTGGCATTGGTGAGATCGCCACTGTCGTCGGCCGCTACTACGCCATGGACCGTGACAAGAGATGGGAGAGAGTCCAGATCGCCCTCGACGGCTTGATCAACGGCAAGGGCGAGGAGAGCACCGACCCCGTCAAGACCGTCAAGGAGCGTTACGCCAAGGGCGGTGACAAGGACAAGGACGAGTTCCTGACTCCCATCATTGTCGGCGGCGACGAGGGCCGCATCAAGGGTGAGCATCTCTTTCCCCAAAACCCCATACTTCATAACTAACAGAAACCCCAAGACGACGACACCGTCTTCTTCTTCAACTACCGCTCCGACCGTGTCCGCCAAATCACCCAGGTGCTCGGCGACGTCGACCGCTCCGTCCTCCCCGACTTCAAGTTCCCCAAGATCAAGAACCTCGTCACCATGACCCAGTACAAGGTCGACTACCCCTTCGAGATCGCCTTCAAGCCCCAGCACATGGGCAACGTCCTCGCCGAGTGGCTCGGCAAGCAAAACGTCGAGCAGGTCCACATCGCCGAGACGGAAAAGTACGCTCACGTCACCTTCTTCTTCAACGGCGGCGTCGAAAAGGTCTTTGCCCTCGAGACCCGCGACGAGTCCCAGGACCTCGTCCCCTCCAACAAGTCCGTCGCCACCTACGACCAGGCCCCCGAGATGTCGGCCGACGGCGTCGCCGACCAGGTCGCCAAGCGTCTGGCTGAGCAGAAATTCCCCTTTGTCATGAACAACTTTGCGCCCCCGGACATGGTCGGCCACACGGGCGTGTACGAGGCCGCCGTCGTCGGCGTCGAGGCCACGGACAAGGCCATTGGCAAGATTTACGAGGCCTGCAAGAAGGAGGGTTACGTCCTCTTCATCACCGCCGACCACGGCAACGCCGAGGAGATGAAGTTCCCCGACGGCAAGCCCAAGACGTCGCACACCACCAACAAGGTGCCCTTCATCATGGCCAACGCCCCCGAGGGCTGGAGCCTCAAGAAGGAGGGCGGTGTCCTGGGTGATGTTGCGCCTACCGTCTTGGCTGCGATGGGTCTGCCCCAGCCTGAGGAGATGACTGGCGCGAACCTGTTGTCCAAGGCATAAATGCATTTGTGTTATTTCTGTGTTTTGGGTTGGGGCGGGATGTTGTCGGCTGACGGCGGAGTTGAGGTGAGGGTGTGTCTTTGGCGAGCGGTTTTCATAGGGGAGAAACAAAAGTTGACAGAGTGCAGTGCTGGCGTGTGTTGTGAAGGATCATGATGACAATAGACATCCCTAGAGATAAGAAAATGAGAATACGCTTTAATGACATGAATGGTTCTGCATTACGTTCATCCACTTATTGAAGTCGAACGCGCAGCATATTCTTCATGGCCCAAGACTCCTCCGGAGGGTTGTCATACAGAGATTTCACGTTCTTTCAGCAAAACAAGTCCCTGATTCAGCTTCCAAATAAGCCTTTACCATTCTAATTTGTCTGGCGGAAGGCCAGGTGTCAACTGATGATGAACAAAAACAAATATTCTGGTGGTATTCATCTCAGTCTCATACCTATGGACACGAACCAAGAAACCCCTATTCCTGCTTCGCCAATCATGTATATCTACTACCCCTAAAAAGCCCAACACACCATACAAAGAAACACCTCGATCCTCTATTTAAATCTCCACTCAACATCCTCCCATCCAGCCCGCCTCGAAAGAGTCGCCTTGCTAGACTTGCTTCCATAAATCGGCGACCGCAGACCCGAAGTAGAGAAAGGCATCTCATGATCCGGTACCTGCACGCCCTCGAGCTCGAACCCGACAGCCAAGCACGCCACCGCGCCCAACAACTCGGCAAACGCAAAGTTGCGGCCGGGGCAGAGGTGCTTGCCGCCTCCAAACGGTACAAACGACTCCTTTGTGCCCTTGGCAATGTCGGGCGTGTTCTTGAGCCACCGCTCCGGGTTGAACTCCTCGCCGTCCTCGCCCCAGACGGGCTTCTTGTGCATCACGGATGCGCTCCACTGCACCTCGACGCCCTCCTTGAGGAGGTACTGCCTTCCCGTCTCGTGGTCCGTGATGGTCGTGTCCTTGCTCGTGACGGTCCGGCTGCCGGTGACGGTGTTCTCCGAGCGGAGCGTCTCGCGGTAGCACGCGACGACGTAGGCGCACGACTTGCCCAGCTCCGTGACGTCGATGGTGGCGACGCGTTTCCCGCCCTCGGCGGTGATAGCCAGCGCGGCCGAGGACTCGACCTCCTCTCGGACGCGGGCGAGGTATTTGGGGTTGGCAAAGACGTTGACGATGAGCCAGAACATGGAGGGCGCGGTGTTGACGGTCGAGGCGGCGGGGAGGGAGTCCATGGCGCCGAGCATGATGTCCGAGAGGCCGAAGCCGCGCCAGAACTCGGCGCGGCCGCGGATGGTGGCGGAGACGGTCGGGCCCTGGTCCATCTTGCGCATGTAGTAGCCGACGAGGCCCGTGACGATCTTTTTGCGGGCTTCGAGGGCTTTGCCGGCGATGATTTTGGAGATCCAGCCGTATTGCATCTTGCCCATGCCGCTCTCGTATGTCCTGCGCCGAGAATGTTAGCCACACACTGACAGGGAGAACAGAAGAAGACGCGAGGGTAAAGAGAACGGAATGAAGACGTACCAGATGGCATCAACCAGCTCCAGATTGTTAAACGGGCTATGCTCGCCATACAAAGCCCTCGTCGTCGCAACACCAATCAACCCACGAGCCCAGTAAAACACGTCATCAATCTTTTCGGGGCTTCCGGGCTTCACCTCGTTGAAGCGGCTGCCAATGTAGTCGAGGGCGCTCAGGTTCAGCTTGAGCAGGTTCTCGCCGGACAGGGCCGAGATGGTGACGCGGGAGATCTCCTCGACGGCGTTCTCCTTGACGAGGCGGTGGGTGACGTCCGGGTTGATGCCCATGGCGCGGCCAATCTCCTCGATGCGGGCGCCGAACTCGAGCGTCTTGTTGCGCATGGCGCTCTGGACCAAGGGCGCGCTGTTGATGACGTACATTTTCTTGCCGAGGACGGGGATTGTGCAGATGGGGAGCTTTGTGCGTTTACTACACGTAGAGAGATTTGGCTGTCAGTGATGTATCTTTGCCATGATGCTCTTCATGAGGTCCCGCCTCTGAGGGGCGTTTCTAGAGCGTCTAAAGCGTTGAGAGAGGTGTTGTTCGACTTACGCCAGCTTCTCGTAGACACCAGGGTACGATGTGTTCACGGTGATCCAGTGGCCGATGATGGGGAGAAGGCCCTTGACGACGGGGGGCTCGCGGGGATCAACGGGCGCGGCGACGAACTTGTCAATGACCATGAGGATCGTGACGACGAGGGCTACAGCCGAGGCAATCAGCTTGACGGAAGATGTCGAGCTGAAGCGCTCCAGCAGCGTAGCGACCGCGGTCGCGGCGGCGCTCGAGGAATCCGCCATGGTCGTGAGGCTTCAAAGAAGAAGAGATCAAGCTTCTGTCGAAAGGGGAAGTGAGATCTGTGTCAAAGAGGAAACAAGCTCACAGTGAAGGGGAGTTAGCGTAGGGTAGGGTAGGTGAAGTGAAAAGTGTCGTTGTCTCGTCGTCCGGCAGTGAGAGACGTGCCTCGTGTTTTTATATAAGTCGTTCGACTGCGTTTCGCCCAAACCCTTCGCTTCCCTTGCCCCCCCTCCCTCCACCTCTTCGGACTCTACATCCAAGCCGTCTCATCAAAACATAGGGTGACAGGTACAGGTCTTGTTTAACGAGGCACGGTTCAGACGAGCTTCCCTAAACCTTCTTTTCGCATATGCGACTCGCACTGCCCTTGCCTTTTGCTCGTTTTCCCATCCATGAGTAGGAAACTAGGTAGCTTAAGCAAGCGGGGGATCCTAGAGCTCGGCGAAAGGGGGGTAGGATTACGATTTCCCGCCCTGCCATTGGGCATTATCTTCGAGACGGCATTTCTAATTGCTCAGGCTGTCCGCGTATAACTAAAGATATGCAGAGAAGGTGCCCATACATGTGGCCGCAGCATGACATTGGCGTGTGTCGTGCGAGCATTATCTTGCAGGAGTCAGGGACAGGTAGGTTGAGGGGGAGCTATCCGTCAAGCTTGGGATCATCGCCAAGCTCTGGGCCGAACCAGCATTAGGCGGGAAAAAGCGTTTTGTTAATTCCCCGCGCGCCAATGAAACTACAGAGGCCTAGAGACTGCCCCGGTCTCGGTTTCGGTTCCGCATTGCCAGGGGGGTGTTTAACGAAGCGATCCCGAGTCTGCCTCGTTCCAATTGTAAAGTTGTAACAGAACACAGCACAGCACAGGCTGCACGGCAAGCTGTGGTTTTGGCTCGTACAGCGGTACGAAATGTGAGCTTTATAGTTTGGATGGGGTTGAAGAATTGACGTATAAGAAAGCGATAGCTGAATCCTGGAGTATGAGTGAATGTTGAAAGTTGCATCTCTAAACCGCTGCATCATCCCATTTCAAGACCGACTCGCCGTAATTCCATTACACTTCCCAGCCTCCTTTTCAAATCCTCCCTAAGTAAAGATCATCATGGCCAGTGTCGAAGGACTCCGCGTAATTGTAGCCGGCGCAGCAACAGGCGTCGGCGCCGACCTGAGCCCTCAGAACCTGGGCAATGACAAGTCGGTGCTCGATATGGATGCCGCCGTGTGGCAGCGCACATTTTTGGTGAATACTACGGGGTATGCTCTTACGACCAAGTATGCGCTGCCGCATTTGAAGGCGGCTGGTGGGGGCACGATTATCAACATTTCCAGTGTAAGTCGCTCTCCTCTCCCCAGCGATTTTGCAGCAAACGTATGAGGAAAGTCAGAAAGCTGACTGAAGTAAAGATGGGCGGCCACTACATGGGCACACCGGAGCCGATCCGCGTAGCCTACGCAGCCTCAAAGGCCGCCGTGCACGCCCTCACCCGGCACACGGCAGCAACCTACGGCCCGGACAACGTCCGCTGCAACACCGTTGCTCTCGGCCCCATCCTCACGGCCGCCCTCGAGAGGGGCATCGCCGCCAGCCCGGCCATGCAGGAGGGCCTGAAGAGGGTCCCCCTCCGGAGACTGGGTAAGCTGGAGGAGGTTGGCGCGCTGTTGGCGTTTATGATTTCGCCTGATGCGGCGTACATTACTGGTGATATTTGGTCCATCAACGGTGGAACTCACGTCATGACGTATTAGTGGACAAGGTACCTATAAGGTAGTCTAAGCAGGCGATCATGTATAAAGTTGAAAGCTCATTTCGCGTTCGCCATTATGTCTCCCGCGCCTTCAAGATAGAGACTGTCACTCTGGGCCGTCGTCGATTTTGACTTTGATGGGCAATGAAGCAGTTGTGGAAACCACGTTTTTGAAAGCGAATCACCCCGGTCTATTGACTTTCTGCCTCTCGAGCTAGAGAGTAATACTGCCCAGATGATGAAACTCAAATACAGAGTCACGATATCAGAAGTGACACGAGCTAGTTGCGACGTTGAGGATCCAAACAAGTTGAACCTCATGTTCAAGGTGATGTCGCGAAGTATAGTCTATAGCGGAAAAGGTGACGTGCCTCGTACGATACTATCCGCGTATTACATAGCACAACGTTAAATGAAACTTGAAGCTCGACCAATAGCGACCCTGTCAGTCGTACAGACTAGGTAATCGAAACAACCTAAGAGACCCGTAGGTTGTAATAGTAGACGGCGCAGTGGAGTTGTCTTTAGTCTGATAGTCCTGTATAGGGACTTGCGCGGACACACGCGATAGAAGAGAATGTCCTGCAATGACACTCGCCTCATATGAGGGGACAGCCCTACGAGCAATAGCGGAGATTATCACATGCATCTCATCGTCCCTGGGCTCTGCTGGACCCTAACAAAGTATACTTGTAGAAGAAGGCACGTTTCTGCAAGCTCTCGAGATGTACTTTAATTACCTCAGCTTACACTTGGCTTGCACGGGCACAGGACGGAACATCACCACAGGGCATCGGTCTGCGAAAATTTAGGTCTTCTCCTCCGGATAGCAATGCCTCCCTTAGCTGATGATCACTGGGAACTCAAGACAAGAGCTAGATCACCGTACCATTGAAGGACCAGTAAAGCTACCCGGGAACGCTCGTTGCTTTCGCCTCGGGAGGAAATCTGCAAGATTGCAAGGTTAGGCTTTCGAATGGATGCATTGTGTTTGATAGCCAACAGCTCACTGAGTATCAATGACAATATTGTTGAGAGAAGAGTGACTAGCTATCCAATCCTTGGTTACGCCATCGCCGCGTCAGATCCATTTTCTAGGAAGACAGCTCGTTGTGCAGAGAGCCCAATCACCCCCCAAGGATCGCGACGAAATGAAAGTCTCCGTCAAATCCTTACAATGATAGCGACAACGCTTTCTCTTCCATTCTCTTTAGATATTAGGAATAGTCTAAGAGTTCTTCCGCGTGTGCTTGCAGCAGACTGTGACAGACGGTCCGGCAGTGCCATCCCGCTATGCTGCGTCACTTAGACGAGAAGAAACGCGACTTCGGCAAGTTCAGGAGCGTGAAGCCTTCGCCTCAATTTTGAATCCAGCTCCTCGATATCGTCAGCGTTATCTCCCCAGCCATGCGCTTCGTCGCCCCAAGTCATGATGCCATCAACATAACAGCTTCCGACCATTGTGAACCGGTGCACGCCTTTGATGCTTTCCATCTGATGAACCCTCGAAGATTCGGTACAGATCGTTCCGAAGTGTTTTCGTAACATATATGGCATAAGCCCGCCTTCAAGAACGCAAAGCTCATCTCCCACGCACATGCTGCCTGGGCCTAGCCCAATTTGGCCTCGATCTGTAACGAATAATCGGTTTCCTGCGGCCATAGTCCGAACGGTGTCCTCCATCCATGAAGTACCCTCCGGCTCGGTCCACTCTAGAAGATCATAATCCTTTGGTAAACAGGCGATTTTATACGATTCATTGGTATCCAAGTCATCATTCCACTGATGTTGGTCGCCGTCAGGTACTGTTGAAGCTTCAAATCGTAAAAGCGACCCTCCTGTTGAGGCAATGGCATCAACTGTGTATCCGTCTGGACAAGCTGCAACTGCACTATAGAAGTCTTCTAGGATATTCTGATCACGGCTCACTCGCATGAGCGCACCTGCGTATTGCCCGAAGGCCCAGTAGGAGAGTTCTCGCCGTTTGTCAAGGTCGAGTGTGCGGAGGGAGCCGTCATCGTCACTGAGGACCTGCATAGACATGGAGAGGCAGGTTGCAACGGCCTCGAGGAACGGTTCTCGATGGTTTTGCCGCCCTTGTTTCCTTCCGTAAAAGGCCCGAACCTGGGCAATGGCCTGGCCAACGTTTGAGAGATCACTGCGAATGACCTGGCTGGTATGGTCAACGACGCCGCAAGATACGCCTTTCAAGATCAAGGCAGACTGTTGTCTGTGCTCTTCAAACGGCGGGCTCGAGGTATATTTGATCATGGTAGGGAGGAAATTAATAGGCTTCCATTCGGCTATGTCGTCATTGAGCAGGCCTTCGAGGTGTTGCCGTGGAAACATATTCTTAGTTCGACCCTCTAAATTCAACGGGTAGTGGCAAAACCGTGCACGACTTGCGTTGAATCCCAAGGACGCTTCCTCTTGGAGACGATACCGTCTCTGATTGAAACCAGAAGCCATGTGCTCGGAAGACCAATCTGGCACCCAAGAAGGAATATCGATACGGCTCTTGGAAAGCAAGTCTGGTGTCGTCATCCAGAGCAGACCGGTATGGCGGATGATCTCAAATGTTGCGTGGGAGAAGAGCTCACTGACATCATCCTCGTAATTAGCCTGGATACTCAGCTGGTTGTGTAGAAATGGCCGTTTCGATTTCATGTCCTCAGCAAGCTTGAGGAGAGCGAAGATCTTGTCTCGCGGCTCCGAGGATTTGCGATGGCGAAATCTTCTGAGAAGCCACAGCAGAGAGCTGCTTGTAGTTGCTCCGACGATTGTTTCCTCTTCCTCCTCTCTCAAGCGGCGAGCAGGACTGATCGCATCTACTCTGCCGGCCAAGAAGCGCACAACTCTGATCAGCTCTGGATGTTTGATCTTGGGTGACTGCAAATGCATTTTGGCTGACTCGACGTAGTGAAACGGAAGCAAAGCACGGCCGTAAACCATAGTGAGCCGTCGAGCGACGCAGGCCTCTTGAACAATCCACATCCGACTCCACCAGTCGCTTATCGCAAAAAGTCGCATCCTTTCGATGATCACTTGTAGCTGCGACTCACTGAGGTTTCGTTCTATGTCGTGACTGTTGAAGTATAACAGCGCAAAGAGGCTGTAAAGACACAAGATCTCTTCATGTTCCGTGAGCGATCCGGGCTCAGAATTCTTCAGCGTATCCCAGTGCTTCTCGCATGTGTGATCCGAAGTCGAGATATCCAGATTCCCGAGATCAGTCAAGGGGTTCTCTCCCAGTTTCTCAAAACGACGTGAGTAATCCTTGCGGCTTCGATCTAGGCCATCTCCAACGTAGGCTGTGACTTCAGTGGCCGAGCCGAAGATGTCGTGCATCGAGCCAACTTGGTGACCCTTTTCTGCAGCATCATCTTGGTCGATGCATATCGAGTCCACCCAGAGAGTAATTGGTTCTATCTGCCTTCGGACAGCACGCAAGGCTCTATCCAAATTAAATGTGATCTTGTGGATCTTGCCGTTGACGGTGATCTGGTTTGACCGCTTCGAACTCCCCCATGCATAAGATAAGGCTTGGTACTTATGATTTCGATCGGCCACATATAGCCTAGATTCGAGGCCGTCGAGCCATTCTCCCGGAAAAAGCTGAATTAGTCGAATCTCATTGAGAGCAAGTTTCTCGCTGTACGTGAACACCGACATCATGTGAACCAAGCAAGTGATGAACAAGCCCCTCTAGTGACTAAAGAGATGGTCGAGGACTAGAATACTGATAGAATGGCTGAAGAAGGCGATGGAATAGGCAGACACGGGAGAGGGAGCCAAGTCAGCCTGCATCCCGCGAGCCCGCTGATTGGTGTGAGAACATTCTTTCGAACTGCCTTGACCAGCTTTAGACGCATACCTTTTCAACCATCTCCAGAGTAAGCGCCGATATGAAAACCTGTCATAGTTAGCGTAACCAGAATGACGGTATAGCAATAGTTCGGTATAGCATGGATCCTCGTAAGATGGGCTCGGTTATCAACGATTGATCCATCATAAGTCGAGAATTTGAGAAGGACTGTTGATGTTAAATTTGCGCCTGGGTTTTGGCGGGGAAGTGGCAGGGGTCGCGAGTACCCCTCCTCAATTACATAATCCAACTCAAGTAAGGCAGCCACATCTTGGTCCGTGCCCGGGGAACATCACGAAAGGCTGCAATAATTTTTTGGAGCTCCAGAAGCTTCTTGGGCCACGAACAGCACAAGTACAGCCTCTCCCCGCGACGACATACGAATCCCGAACATACCGCCGAGTGTTATCCCTACCGCTGTACTCGTCGCATCAAAGCAATCGCCCAAAATGTCGTTCGGAGGCCAGACCCCGACCATTATTGTTCTGAAAGAGGGTGCGCTACCCCACCGCCTTCCCCTTGCCGACCTGGAAACTGTGACTGACGAGCATGTTGCGCAGGAACCGATACCTCTCAGGGCAAGGGTCAGATTATCTCCAACATCAACGCCTGCTTGGCTGTCCAGGCCACGATCAAGTCTACTCTCGGTCCCTATGGAGGTGACCTCTTGATGGTCGATGCCAACGGCAGACAGACTATCACCAACGATGGCGCTACTGTTATGAAGGTTGGAAGGACCGCAAGGACTGTTTGGGGAGACTCGGGCATACTGACGCGCATATAGCTCCTCGACATCATTCACCCCGCAGCCCGAATCCTCGTCGATATCGCGAGATCACAAGATGCTGAGGTCGGTGACGGCACAACGTCCGTCGTCGTCTTGGCTGGAGAGATCCTGAAGGAGATCAAGGAGCACGTCGAGCAGGGCGTCAGCTCCCAGGTTATTATCAAGGGTCTGCGGAGAGCGTCTATGATGGCCGTCAACAAGATCAAGGAGATTGCTATCGACACCAACGAGAGCAACAGAAGGGAAACGCTCGGCAAGCTGGCGGCTACCGCCATGACAAGCAAGCTGATTAAGCGCAACACCGAGTTCTTCACAAAGAGTATGTTGGATGCACTCCTCCAGTGATACA